CGTCCGTCCGTATACGTCAGTCTCTGAGGACGTCCGTCCGTCAGTCTCTAAAGTCGTCCGTCTGTCAGTCTCTGAGGTCGTCCGTCCGTCCGTACGTCAGACTTTCCAACACAGTGAGAATATATGCGCGCACACCTCTAGGGAGAGCTCCCAAGGTGTGTCTATATATACGACCAGCAAGGTGACGTCATATGATTCTACCCGCGTGTGAAACCACACTGCGTACACGTGCACAGGTTCTCCCCTAACAACGAGTTAAACATCTAGCAATCACGTCTCACTCACGTGTAGACATACGTGTACTCGACACTATGTTATATATACTGCGCACGTCCGGTCTTCTCCGAATTCTGCCTTTACAGGTCCGGGTGTGCGTCTACGCAGTGGAATTAACATCCTGTGTGTTGCCTCCTTAGCTAGTCACATTTATAATTTTACCATAAATATTTTAAATTAATTACTTTACTAATCTACAAATTGACTGCGCACTGTTACATCACTCCTCCCGCAAAATAACTTTCGTGACTTGATGTCACAAAGTGTAGTTCTAAAACACTGCAAACATATAAAATGCGGACGCCCTTAAATAATTCACCTACTGCGGTCTACTATGCCACATTTCTTAAATGAACCTAAACCTCTCAATGTGACAATGACACACTTATTTTCTTCAATGACACATTTATTTGTTTTCAATGACACACTTACCCAACATTAAACGATTGCTTGTAACATAGAATTATAGTAAATTGTATTGAAGCCCCACAAAACAACCATTTCACGCTCCGGGAGCAGGCCTACCAGGAACATCACGCAAAATCGCGCCGCACCCAAGAGGAAGAGGAAGAAACGCGGATGCGCGACGACTCCGGGTGATGGAGGACCACTCGCGCAGGACGACGTAACCGACTGAGATTGTTAGACTCGATGAGTATACTTAGGAAAGTATTTGCGTGTTGCGAACGCTTTGTTGCATAATATTGCAATTGACGTGTGCTCTAACACAATGCGTTATTATGGCAATGATGGAACGAAGGCAGCACATACTCAACTTCCGACTTCCTTAAGTACTTCAACTAATGCGATATACTGTCGTGCTATATCCCTTAATTATCCTGACTGACACGCGTGTAGACGTGTGTAAATACTCTCAAATTGTCTACGCGTACAATACTCACATGCGTGCTTAGTGCTAATTTCAAGCGTAGTTTTAAATTCAAGCCTCCGTGAAAAGGGCTGAGTAGGGAGGGCACGGGCACAGTGTGGAAGCGAGATACGAAAACCTCTCAACGTTTCGTCCATGCGTTTGCCAAGAGTCCTTTAACTCTGGCCTTGCCTCGCTGCGGCGTATCCTGTGGCGTTATAACGTTTATCAGTTCCTGTGCAGTTCATTTTCCTCATTTAACTGCCTCTATTGCCATAACATCTTTATCTTTACCTGCGTAGTGAGCCTCGCTCGCTTCACTGTCGTCGTTATAACTTCGTTACTTTTGCGCAGTTAATCTTCCCCGTTTAACTGCCTCTACTGGGGAAATCTGGCTCGCTTGATTCCCGTTAGGCCTTTCGCCTCCTGGACGGTTGTGAATTGCTCACCGTCCGTATCCTACAATAAATCTTCTTCCATGTCAAGGCTCGTGGCCGTACTTTCCGCCTGCGACGGGGTATAGATGATTACGTCATCAGGCTCCTGAGCCTTAATGTCACCTGCAGATAGATCCATGGCCAGTGGGTCAACTGCACGAGACACTGGCGGCTGCGGTTGATTCGTAGAATCCGCTTAAGCCTGTGCCTTGGGTGTGCGATGCAATGACTCAGTGGAACGTCTTCCTCATCAAAGTCATCATCGCTACAACCATCTTGTCGGGCGGATATGCCGGTGTCGGTGCCCTTTGAGGCTGACGACGTCTTCATCCTTGCATGGGTTCTGTCCGCGGTTGCTGACGTACGTGCCTGTTTGCATGTTGTTGACAGTACACTTGCGTGTTGTACGTCTCATCTTCTTCACACCTTTATATACAACTGTTACACACAGAAAAAGGACTGCCTACAAGATAGGCCTATTGGGAGAATATCTTTCTTTTCAAACTGCTACGAATGGGTGCATCTCTCGCGGCTGCCTCGCCGCTGCACGCTGTGCTATTAAAGGCAGGTTGTGTAGACTGCCTCCAAGCCGTTCGTTGATTCTGCATTCGCCGTAGTGACGGATGCGCATACGGTTGATAGTAGCGTGATTTCAATGGCGGCTTGATCACTGCGCCTTGATTTATCATGCCACTTGCTTGCTGTTGTGGTGAGGATCGCAGTTACACCTCGATTTGTTCTTCATTATTCGTGAGCCAGCTTACTCTCTCCTCGTAGAATCTGATTACAATCTGGGGGCATCAAATATTAGTATATCGTGCTAGGACCCAATCTGACTCATTGCTGCCTTTTTATTTCATCAAAAACATGAGCTCTCCACTGGACTTAATTGCGCCGATGATGCGTTGTGGTTGGAGTAATCGCGCGAAGCCACGTAAATTTGAAGAGACCCCCTCCTCCATCTTCTTTTGCTCTTTCAACTTTCGTTCGGGTTCCCGCATCGATCTTCACGGTCTAATTTTGCTTCAAGCTCCCCGTATGTCAATGGAGGTTCAGGATGGTGGGAAGGGCAGTAGGATTGGGTGATAAATTGTTTGGCGGCTTAGTTAATATTTAAAAACTATTACTTCGTTAAATTACGTTAAAAGCTGAGCACGTTTGCGGGTGTTGTACTCACATAAAACGGAGTTTACGCTGCGATGTGTAGGCGGTTATCGCTGCTGTGGTAAGTCCCCGCGCGTCAAGATGACTGCTGCCCATGTTAGCTGGCGTGTTAGAACATATGCCCACGCGGCGCTGTCTCTAGTAACTTTGCAAAAGTTTCTGACGGTGCGATGGTGATGCTGCTGTCGCTCGGATGTCGCTGCTGCTGTTGTTGATGTTACTGTTACTGCTGACACCGGCGATGACGCTGGTGTTCACGCTGCGGCGATCGACGTTGACAATGACGCTGATACAATTCTATATGCGGTGCAGACGTGCGATCTAGCCTCTGCGGTGCTGACGACGCTGTTTCTGCCGACGCTAACGCTACGAGACGCTGACGATGATGCTGACGACTTCACTGTTAATGTTGCTGTGTGATGTTTCCTTCCACACGAATCCTGGTCACGGCACCAATGTAACCTTGCTCGGGTTAAGTTTTATTTCGTGTAGCTACGTCGGGAGACACTTGACTGTGTGTGGCTCGTGATCGTATTACTGTTCTAAGCCTTGCGTTGTGTATTCCTTGATTCGTATTAATTGTATACTTGCATTAATTTCCAAACCCAATTCGTTCGTGTTGCATTTCCGCTCGAAAGAAAAGCAATCACACAAATAAATTCATAAGTCCAAAAGTGAGCTTCCACGCACAAGAATTTATTGTTGCTCACAACACACACATGAGCGAGAGTCCAACAATTCAGTAGTCTAACACATAAATCGTATATGTGCGCGCTTGAAAAACTCAGAGCTCCCAAGGTTTGGTCATATATATTATAATATGACCAGCGAGATGACGTCACATCAGGGGTCCTCAGGGCAACTGCAAGCCGAAAAGCGTCCCCTCGCAACTTCCTTGTAGCACACCGCACCACGTCGCGTACGTACGTGTCTGCATCCGGGTTTGCATCTACGCAGTTAGAACTGACATCATGTTTGTCGTTGCAGTGAAAATCGCATACACGTCGTAGGAAAGATATATATATATATATATATGGAAGACTAATTATAAAATAAACAATTTATAATTTAAACATTCCGGCGCACTGTTACACGTGTAGAGACTGGGTACCGGTCGATGGCATCTCGCAAGAGCGCGAATCACGCTCCAGCGATGTCAACATAAGTAAACAAATATAAATTGAAATTCAGATCAGTGCACATATTGGTAAAACGAATGATATGCGAGTGTTCTGTGGCACGTTGGCCTCACTGTATACACTTAGCGTTACACAAGGAGTACTGTTAAGTATCAGAACGGTCAAGAAAATATGAGAACGGTTGGATAAAACATGTGAAAGCTTTGCTTTAAGTTTGAAACTCGATACTGATGTTACATGTTCTTACTATTGATTTCAAGTCCTTATCTAATGTTGTAATGTAATAATTTTGTAAATGTTATCTATTGCTGTGATTTGATATGTATGGAGTGTCTGCTGGAAATTAGGAACGATTCTAAATATTTTTGCCGCTATGTCGCCAAATGTCATCGCGTGATTGTGCAACAGCTTATTGTAAACAATAGTTTCTAATATTCTAACATGTCGTCAAACTTAACGGTTAGTCGTTGTTGCAGCAATGTGTACTGACCTTTACGTGGCGTTCAAAATCAAATCAGTGGATGTGTGCGTGCGCACGCGTGTGTGTGTTCCAGTGCGAAAGGAGGGAGAGAGCGGGGAGAAGTGAGAATGAGAGAGAGAATGGATAGCGCATGTATATCACAGCGCGGCGTGACAGCCATGTAAAATGTAAAGTATATAACTGTGTGGTAGCGGAGAGGTACTGACACCTGACTGTGGATGTAGCACGATCGTGTTTTGTACAGCAGTATATTCCGTGCAACGCGTTGTGTATACGAGATGCTATTTCGAACAGTCTGGCAGGTACTGACACAAGCACTTGGGAGCGCTTCAATAAAACATAATGCTAAATAAATACGAAATCTATTTACTACCAAACTCTTAACGTTTCTCTACTCTCTTTCGCCTATTATTGCTGACAATTTCCTGTAAATGCCGTGCAAATGCTTCTCTGCAACACACATGTACACCTCACGCACGCTGTCGCACACTCATTTAGAACTCATATATATATCTATATATATATAGTCATTTATAATACCCGCCTCATACACAAACACCAGCATGCATGCACGCATACACACACACGCACACACGCACACAAACGCAAGTATTTTTAAATGCATAATTCCGCTATTCAGGGTTGTAATACAACAAATAGAGATAAATTTATTATTTGCGAAACATATTTACAATCTTTGTACAAAACCGTTACAAATCGCACGCAGCGTGACTGGCTTGGTCCTCCGCACGAATTAGTTCGAAATGGGATAATAGGCCCACACACACATCGCGATTCACGTCCGTCTCCACGCAAAGCCCCCTACTATTACTGCGCGATGGGCTAGGGCTATAATATAGTTTGATCCATCTTCTCATTCATTACGATTCGTTGTTCACTCGGCTCTTCGGGATTTCGGGAATGTGTGATGAAGTATATCACAGCATGTGAGGCACTCTATATCCGAACTACTGCATGAACCTAGATACGTATTGTTTCATGCATGGTAAAGGCCTGAGTTCATAGTAGTATAGCGTTTACAATGAAATGAACTAAGACGATCAATAAAATTGTTAATGCTCTAATGAGAAGTATGGTGACTGTACGGCATGGCAAAGCTTCATCCTACAGTTGCATTTAACAGACTGGGGAGCAAGATTGTTTACAGGCTCTAGTACCACACCTTCATATTCACAATGGGTTTTGTACAACTGCAGAGATGCTGCAGAAATTTCCGAATGAACTCGATTCCACTCACAGAGCAGTAGCTATAAATCATTACTTCTTGTATTGATACCAACTGAATATTTTCAGAATGTATTATTCTTACGAAATACGCGGCAAAGAAACGGGTAAATCTTTACTCTGCATCTTGAATTTGAATGTACACGATTACCTTGTTGGTTTTCATGTGGCAGACGCACAACAGCATTTGTTGAGGAACTTTTACAGTCGCATCACGCGCGCAGAGGCTTTCAAAGCAGAACCCATTTACAGCTATGGCACACGTGAGATGAGGCAGACATCGAGAGTTGTCGACATCCGCTACCAGGGGCGCCACATGTCCTCCTCCTTCGGCTCCTGATGCGGCGGCAGAAGACCCGTCGGACTAACAGACGGTGCCGCCTTACCGGCAGGTGGCGACACTGAGCGTCGACCAGGACTCAGACTGCTCTGGCTGCTACCGCCGCTGCTGCTGCTGCTGCTACTTGTTGTCGACGCAGGACTAACGGAACCAGCAGCCGCCGACGGCGGCGACGACAGACACACCGCCGACGCCGCCGTCGACATCGCCGCGGCGGCGCCACCGTCGGGCACGTTGGCGATGACCGGGATCACGTGACCCGCTTGCAGTCCCCCTGGCGGCAGCTGTTGGTTCGGCAGCATGAAGGCGATCTCACCGCTAGGTAGCGTGCTGGGGATCAACTGCAGACCGAATCCACCGTACATGCGCGTCGTCGCGTCGGCGTACTGCACCTTCGGCAGCACGCTGACGGTCGGCAGGCCAGCCGACGGCACGGCCGGCATACCCTGCAGCTGCAGGGCCTGCATGCCGGCGCCGCTACCCTGCATGACGGCGCCGTAGCGCACCTGGGCGTCGAGCACGTGCATGCCTCCCGTCAGGTGGGTCACCATGCGCGTTCTGACGCCGGCGTCGAGGCCGTCCATGTTGGAGAGGTAGCGTGTCACCTCCTGCGCACACTCGCTGTAGCCGGCTCGGTACTTGGCGAGTACGGACGGGTCGCTGTTGACGGCGACTGCAAACAACGACAAGAGAATCCGTCAGATAACGGTTACGGATTCATACCCCCGCCATGGTGTCCCGCAAGCGACCAGGCAGCATGCGACAATTACACGCTAGCTGATATTTACTTATATATATATGAGAGCTTATCGTGTGCCGAATAGTGATATACCCGGTAGGTGAATATTTTGCATAGACCGGTCCTATGTATGTTAACGACGTGCATGCGATCTTTATTCTACATCAATCCAATCGTAGCCCTAGATAATGCTCATGGACCAACTGGATTCTAGATAGATTTTATAAACGAGATATATCATATATTTCTCATACAAGCGCGAGGAAGCGCGTATAGAAAAAATGATATATAGCTGTATAACTGTATAACATATATAACTGTATAAGTCGTGAATATAATACATTTCAGACAGTGTCACAATGTAACATCAGTTGGCAACGCGGCACACTTGAGAACAGCGTTGGAGTTGTAACACGACGTAACACATACAGGAGAACTAAGCGACCGACTGTGAACTGCAATTACACATGCAATAATTACGAATAAACGCCAACATATAGATTGATTACCATTTATCATCCGCTCGTCGCACGATTGCTCGTGTGTGGCGATATAATATCGGGGGGAAAGACCTACTGTGACTGGTACCTTGTCTTATCACTTTGTCAAGTGAATTCGTCATAGAAGTCTATTAACTATTAAAGCCGCACTATGCACATCCAAACGCTAATTTCTCCAGTACTAGACTAGCAAATTCTTCGTGTCATGCATAATCACACTACCTTATGACAAAATAAACTCTAGTTCCTCCCATTTCACTGCGCGTTTGCTTAAAACCCACAAGAGGTGAGAAAACTGGCATTCTGGCGCTAACACCGACTTATTTGCCAAACAATTTAGCCTCGAAGCGGTTCGGTGACGTCACATGTTTTTATCTTTGCTACACTCGTACCGCTGTACAGCAGCACCGCTGTGCGGTTGATTGGCAGGGCAACGCGAAAATGTCAACAACATCGGAGAATTTGAACAACATTGGAGGTATTTTCAAATACCTTTTATAAGACAACGCGCAGTGAAATGGGAGGAACTAGAGTTTATTTTGTCATAAGGTAGTGTGATTATGCATGACACGAAGTATTTACTAGTCTAGTACTGGAGAAATTAGCGTTTGGATGCGCATAGTGCGGCTTTAAATGAGACAGGGTCCGTAGAGGTCTAAGCCGCAGTGTATCCCCCCACCAATGTTCTCGGTGCAGTGACTCACCTGCCATCTGCTGCCGCTGCAGAGCTTGCAAGTGCTTCACCGTCATCTCCAAGATGTCCGCCTTCTCCAGCTTGGAATGCCGCGAACTCTGTTGCCAAGGAAACGCAGAGGGTTATAGGTGAACGAACACTTCGACGGCTTTCGCCAGACATTGGCGAGTTATGGCCACGAATCAATGCTTCACAGCTGATGAGCGCCCGCAAAACCGGTTGCGGGCAGTAAACGTCGGAACGGTTTAGAGGGGTATAAAATATATACGTAATGAAATTATCATTTGGTGCATGGCGCTGAAACGATGCGCTCGCTGGCGGACAATCATTTTCAGCACGGTTCGAGAAGCGGCGGCAGAGCCATTCAAGCTAATTGCGTTAATACGAGAGATAATTTAAGCGCCATCAGCGATGACACGCCGTGCGCACTGCTGACGATCATTATTGCACGCACAGACCGCCGCTGTTTGTGCGTTCGTGCGTGCGTGCGTGTGCGTGAATGTGATCGTACACGTGCGCGCGTTACGTGAGTTCGTGAGTGGATGCGCTTGTATGTGCGTGCGTGTGTGCGCGCGCGTTGAGTGCGTGCACGTTTTGTGAGCAAATGTGCGTGTATGTGCATGTGTGTGTACGCGTTGCGTGAGTGCGTGATCTGATGTGCGTGTATGTGCGTGTGTGTGCGCGTGTTGAGTGCGTGCGCGTTGCATGAGTGCATGAGCGGATGCACGTGTATGTGCCTGCGTGCGCGCGCCTACGCTTTGTGTGCGTGCATGTCTGCGCGCGTGCGTGCGTGTCGTGTGCGTGCGTGTCCGTGCCTCGTTATTCGAAATCAAGACGAGGGCACAACGCGATGATATAGCATATAATTTTTATTGCGCCTCCGCACAGCGACTCGCCGCCGGATCTAACAGTCGGATCCGCATCCGACAATTGCAACAAGTAAACGCGCAATCCCAGACTAATCTGCCGACGACGTGGTGCGGGCAGCGCGCCGACGGTGCATAAAGGACGCCTGTATATCCGTCTGCGCTCTCCCACGGAGTACCGTTACGCATGAATGCTGAGCCGACACTGGCATTAGATGATAGAGAAAGAGAGGAGGAGGATTGAGGGGGGGGGGAAGAGAGAAAGAAAGAAAGCGAGGGAGGGAAAGAGAAGCGAGGCGCAAGCAGATAAAAAAAAACCGTTGAAACGCGTTCTTGAGATTGAATAATTCTCTGCGCAAGCGACCGTTTTTATGGCGGCCGCAAAAAAACGGCTCTTCATTCACAGCTAACGGCCGACGTTTAAGAAGCGTTAGAGGAAGACGCCGCCTATACGACCTTGGAGCCCCACGCATTCAATCGGGGCATTATCAGGCGCGAGGGAGGGAGAGAGAAAGAGAGAGAGAGAGAGAGATGGGCATCGCACCTACACTATTAGCGCATCACAGAAGACACGCCGACCGTCATAATCGTGGGAAATAGTGAGCGAACAAATTGCAGCCGCACGAGCGGTGAGCGAAAGAGACGGAGAGAGAGAGAGGGCGAGGGAGCGAGACAGAGAGAGAGAGAGAGAGAGAGAGAGACTCATTCGAGTGAGAGACGAGAGGACGAGAAGCAAGCAGTCTTTTCATGGGCACTTCGTATTTTTTCTGTCTCGTGTTCGAATTAGCTTAGGCTGGTCGCGGGGTTCTTGCTCTGTGTTTCACGAGCCGTCGCGCCTTCCTTATAGGCTGCCAGTTCACACTTGCAATAGGAAGGCCACCTAACAATTACGACCTATTTAGGCATTGCTAACTTTTCGCGTTTTACAACGCGATGCCCGTGCGCAACGGCGGTAAAACACCACTGGCCACTCTAACAAACAGAGCTCAGGAAATTTAAGTTAGTAAGAACTTACTTGAGTCAGTGATGAAATTTTATACGGAAATGCTCAATTATAGTTTTGTAAAAGCTGTGAGTTTTTTAATTTCCGGATAGAAGCCGACATGAGGTCATTGCTTCAGTAGGGCGGAATTACTTAGCGGATAGCGTTGCAGAACATTTACAACCATATCTTTTATAGGTAAGACACAGCTAACTTCCCTACTGCACTACATGATTTCATCTCGACTGTTTCAGGCTTCTATTTGGTACACCACGGCCCTGTCGAATAGATCACGAGAAAACGCGCAATGGGGGTTATTCAGTTTTTAATATGATCGCGCGCGCGATTTTTACCAAGTGCATTATTACTTGTAGTAGCGCGGGGCTCGTTGTAAATTTGTTATGTGACTGGGGTGACACCGTTGTTTGACCAGGATAAATTCGTACTTCGTATACGTGCTCTATACATGGTCATATCAAGACCGCTAATAATACCTCTTATAAGTATTATTAGCTCCTTGGTCATATGCATAGCGGGCTCCCTTCCGTACGTGAACGACAACTACTCAGGCGAGCCTACGAATGTATTTGCGACCCTTTTAATTTTAATTAATATGTCTCTACGCCATTAATATAATGTTAGTATGGAGACATGCTTCGACTGCGATGTATTCTTTGTTAACATCGTCTGGTTCAATATTCTAATGGCTCTCAATACACGGTCTATTACAATTCAACTACAAAGCGCGTGATGGCTGATGGATACTTGTTCCGGTGATGGGTCATTGGATAGTCTACGCGCTAGGCTAGCATGCGATCACCGACACCACGTGATCATCCGCGATCTTTCATATCTGCTTGTTAAACCCGATTGGCACCGGTGCGGGAGAGACTTTGTCACGGCTTGGCGAGACCGCGAAATGTAAGCGCGCGATGACGCAGCCAATTCAGCTGTCATTAGAGTTAATGATGCGTGTCATCTCATTGCGTGTTTACTAATCGCTACTCAGGCTTTCGTGTTTTTCCGCTGGCATGCATAAATCGTTTTTGCTCTATTCTCTCCACGTTGGTGGTTTTATATTTGTTGAAATCAGGTTCCGTTATGCTAATCGTAATGTGACAAGTTGGAGATCACGAGCTCTCGTCCGGAACGTTTGGCGCTGTTCGGTCGGCTCGATTACGCTAACCGGAATATAGTTTAGTTGTTATGTGTTTCGACACAGTGCGCATGCGCCTATGTGCACGTCTCGTTCGTTTGTCGCGCGTAGGATGCGTGTGAGCGTTGAGGCGTTGAGGTGGTGTCGGGTACGTAGATGCGTGTTGCGCGTGAGTCGTGTCCGGGTGTCGAGCAGCGTTAGCGTAGGCTGTGCGTCGAGTGTGTTGGCTTAGCGTGTGATCGGCGACGTAGGTGTGTGTGCGTGAAGTGAGGCGTCGTGTCGGCGCGTAGGTTGTGTGTGAGCGTGAGGCCGTCGCGGGCTGGCGGCGACGTAGGTTGCTGTGTGCGCGCTTGAGACGTGTGTCGCGCGCTACGGTGTGTGTGAGCGTGAGCGTGTGTCTGCGCGTAGGTGTGTGTCAGCGTGAGCGTGAGCGTGTGTCGGCGCGTAGGTGTGTGTGAGCGTGAGCGTGTGTCGGCGCGTAGGTGTGTGTGAGCGTGAGCGTGTGTCGGCGCGTAGGTGCGTGTGAGCGTGAGCGTGAGCGTGTGTCGGCGCGTAGGTGTGTGTGAGCGTGAGCGTGTGTCGGCGCGTAGGTGTGTGTGAGCGTGAGCATGAGCGTGTGTCGGCGCGTAGGTGTGTGTGAGCGTAGGTGTGTGTCGGCGCGTAGGTGTGTGTGAGCGTGAGCGTGTGTCGGCGCGTGTGTACGACTGTGTGTGCGACTGTGCGTGCGTGCTTGAGTGCGTGTATAGGCATGCGGCTGTGCGCGCGGGCGGACACGTACGCGTGCGCGCGTGAAACCAGGCAACGACGTCTCGCGCGCAGGCAGCGACGGGGAGACCTCCGCCGTGGTCGCCCGGGGGCGTTAAGCGACCGGTAACGAGGCTGACATGCGACGCTCTCTCGCTCTGCTCAGCGCACGCGGCCCCCCATCAACGCGCGCGCGCACAAACAGAGAGAGAGAGCGCGCAAGAGTGTCGACGCGATCATCTCTTAGTGTCACCTGCGTGAATGGCACACGGACTGCGAGTGACAAAGAACACCGCAGGGGAGGGAGGCGACCCACGCATTACCCGCGCCCAGCCGGAAATGCAGGCGCCGCAGCAATACAAGGTGGGGGTGGGGTGTGGGTGGCGGGGGAGGTCAGTCAGCGTCAACGACACAGATACAGGTGACGCGCGGTGTGAGCAGTGAGAGGAGTTGGCGTGATAAATAGAGAGATGAAGATAAGAAGGGAGAGAGAACGCAGGTGGAAAGAAGAGAGCTTAACGGGGGAAGAAGTGAGCAAAAACTGGGTAGAAATTTTTAGGGAAAGAGTGGGCGTGGAAGGGGAAGGAGGAGGTGGCAGTGAGGGGTGGATGGGAAGCTAGTGGAGAAAATATCCAGAGTGGAAGGGGAAGCTAGAGAGAGAAGAAGGTGGGGGACAGGTGAAGGACGGAATGCAGACTCACACGTAGACACGAGATTCAGAGAACGGGAAGATAGAAAGAAACGAATGGGGAAGGAAACGAAGGAATGGAAAATGAGAGAGTGAGCTAGGGCGGGTGAGGGATTAATGAAGGAGAATGGGAAAGAAATGCGGTGCGAAGTAGAGGGTGTATTTGGGAAGAAAAAGATCAGAGGAAAGCGAGTCGAGAGATGAGCGAGAGGCAATTGAGAAGCGCGTGAGATTGGTGAAGCATGGATAGGCGGGATTGGAGAAGGATATGTT